TCAGAAACAGGAGAGGAATACAGGATAGCACTGACATATGTGAAGGAGAAAAACCTCATCAAAAGAGCTGGCCTGAGTGCTGATTGTGCATCCCTCAGAAACTCAGTCCCCAGGGCTATGTGGACACAGGGTCAGTCTCCCAGCCTTGCCAGGAGCCATTACAACTGAATCTGTATATCCACTCTGAACCCATGGCATTGCCATAATAATTGTAAAGTTTAACATTAATGGGAAAGAAATGTACTGAGCAGCCATCTTAAGGGTAGTAGTGCCTAGTCCACTGACAATTTTATATTTGCGTCCATATTCATCCATTTTCCTTTTGATAATGATTTTAATAGCAGCATCTTTTAAAGTGTCTTTGAGAGTTTATTCAGATTGAAACCATCTCTGAGGACTAATATAGTTCAGAGGTGCTGGAGTTCCTCTGCACTTGGAAAACTAGGGGCCAAACTTTGGCACCTGTCCAGTATGCTGTCACTCTGAGGCCCTGGCAGGGCAGCCCCAAGGCTCCTGTATACTGTGTACTGGATTGTAGCAGAGCACATGTCCAGTACAGTTCACACAGGAACGTCCAGATGCTGTGCTCTATACACCAAGGACATGGTAGAAAAGATCATGGTTTTAGAAAGTATTTCCCCCCCAGGATCATCCAGGAACTCTAGATTAAATGGAACAAGAAATCCTTATCTGTCTTGTTAATTCTTGTTTCTCTTGGACTTTCTTTAGGATTGTTTACTTCCTTGAATTTTTTTCATCTCTTTGGACCAGGAGGCACTGATTCATCTTGTTATTCCTAAATGCATAATTTTTATACTTTCGTACACATATTTACATACATAAATACAGTAAAATACTCCCCCCCATCTTTTCCCTTCATCAGTGCATTTCTTCGTGCCCTTTCTCATTGTGACTCAAACTTATTCTTTCTCTCAGGCCCAGTTCTTCCCATTGCTCATGGTCTGAGAAAGAAAGCTGTATGATTGTTGATCTGTCCTGTTTTTTTTTATTATTTTTGAAAAGAGGAAAAAAAAAAACAAAGGTCTACAGAAGAAAAAGGTAGTGGAGAACTTCTGCAGAAATCAATATGGTTACAGTAACACACACATATGTAAACTCTAAAAGAAAGATACTAGGTACTGAGAGTGTAGTACATTTTTATTGATCATATTGGTTTAAAATACCTCAGGTACATTTAAAGTTTTGCAACTGAAATTCTGTCCTTGAATTGGGTTTGGGTCAAGAATTATAGGCAGGGTATAAAACAATTTAAGAAATTTTTATCTATATTCATATTTGATTTTTTTAAAGTTTCCTTTGAAGCACACAATTATGTCATAAGCATGATGGCCTGCCACCCTCTTATACTTACCTAGAGAAATTACAGCTTCAAGGCCTGAAATAATCCTGATGGAGATTGTTAATAGCTTGGTGTAGATGCTTGAAGAGGCAGCAGTGACCCCAGGGTGCTTATCCTTTTACCTGATATTAAATGTGACTCTCCCACATTCCTGTCCTGTGTTCCTCCAGGTACTGCCAACAGACTTCAAAACTAGGCAGATGCCTCCCATTCCTGACCACCCAGGTCTGTCCATGATATTACCATTCTGAACTTGGAACCCATCTATGTTGTTCTTGAGCTCTTATGGAATATCCCCTGTAGCCTTTTACCTTACCATTCCTTCAGTTGTTTCTCACCTACGGCTATATTTTGGCGATTAAAAAGTTAACTTCCCAATTCTTTTTCCTTGCTGCTGGCTTGTCCTTGTCTGAAATACCAGGGGAGAATTGAATGGAGCCCCTTTCTTAGAAAGTGGCCTACCTCACTTGTGTGTGTTCATATGGTAGTGATTTAGCTCTTCGGTATGTTACCAGGGACAAGGCTGTACATTCTTCATTGTGGCCAACATATCATCCTGATTAGAGATTTGAGTTATAATATTGAAAATTTGATATTTAATCGATTCTTACCCCTGGTCCCTTGTGAGTCCCAAGTGCTGCTCTGAGCTGATAGCCAGTCACATCCTAGACACACTGGTCTGGAGAAAGAAAACATCAAGCCTTTTATGGCCGATGCTGCTGACACTGAGGAACAATCAGCCTGGTACAGTGCTGACATAATAGGTTAGAGAGGCAAATATTTAAATTCATTATAAATTCTTAATTTGGAATATTTCTAGGTCATTTTGGTGTACTTATAGATTGACTTTGGAAAGGGGCTGGTAACATTAAGGTGGAGTATTTTAAGTGCATCTAGTTCCTTTATATTGATTTTTTGTAATCTAACCTTTAATAGATTTAAAACTCAAAAAAGGAAAAAAATTCTATAATTTGAATAAGCATTCAATTATAAGTAAAAAGCATCTTTTGTATCTGTTACCATAGTTACTAAGCAGCCTTCCCACGGTTCTAGAGTAAATGGTCCCCATCATTCAGAGTAATTCTAAGAAGTCTTTTGGGGGGAAGGGTTTGAGGAAAGGGTAGAAGGGAGGGTCCCCTCCCCCCAGAATCAGGAAACATTGGCTGAGTTTTTTCACTGAGTTTTACGAAGTCCTCCACTAAATAGTACAACACTGTTTATAAGTATGAATTTTCTTTTAGCTGCAGTATAGTGTTAGCCAGTTTAACTGGTTATTAGAATTGAATTGAAACTTTAAAATCTTTGGCTACAGTTTATATAGGTTGCAGCTGTATTTCTGCAGGGGTTGGAAACTTTATTTAAGCAAAGCAAAAGTTAGTCATTTCTTGTAGTGGCAAACATCACCTGTATCTTAAAGGAATGAAATCAGTCAAATAAAGATGAGACTGTATTTTAAAATCCAGGGAAGCCAGAAGTGACAGGTTGGCCAGAGAGATTGATTCCATGCCTGAACATGCACCTTCGGTCTTAGCAGTTTTTGGACATTGTGTAGAGTTCTGTCAGTGTTTCGTGGTTTTAGGGTTGCATAGGAATCAGCTCACTCCTGGTGACTATGAAATTCCTATCAGAATTTACTGTGTCAGGTGGGAGAATTGGATGGACATGGGGTAGAGGAGATGAGCTATAGAAGTAGCAGAATGAGCTGCAGGCACAGAAATGCCACTAAGCTCAGATAGTGAAAGGGGAGGGGGGAACCATAGAGAGGATGTGAGGAGAAGTCTAGAGAATACCCTAGAGCCTTCAGAGACATCCTAAATCATAAAAAGTCAGAGTGAGCACTTCAGAGTTTGTGGGTATCTGTGCCTTTCCCACTGTCACCACTCACAAATTCACTCTTTGCTTCCACACAAAGGCGAACAGGGAGCCATCTTTTTTCTGCAACAGCCGGACTCCCCCTCCCTAAATCCCTGCCTTACTTCACAATCCCTTAAGTTCCTGGCTACTCTGTGACCACCAACCTCCCCAAGAGATTGTCTAGTGGGTTTCTGTTCAAGTTTAAGGAAAGTTCTGGCCTATAGGAAATACTTGTTGCTAAATTTGAAGAAGGTGAATAAGAAAACCATAGAAGCAGGTAGAAAAACCTACTAAAATTTATTAAGAACATTTAACACTGTATTTAGAGTGTTACTATTCTTAACTACTGTCTGCCCTAAAATGGTCTGAAGTGTGGTGGACATTTGGAGGCACTGTTGGTGTGAAAAGGCCTCTTCACTGGTAGTTCTTAACTCTGCCGTGTGGAACCTTCCTCGCATGTGCCATCCCCACCATCCCTGTGATTCCAGTGTGTCCAGTAGATGGCAGCTGCAGTGACGTGAAACCTTGGGGCCAGGATCATTGCTTGTTCAAGGCGGAAGGGGTCACATGGCATTCAAGGCAGGTCAGACCTGCATGAAGAGTGGTGCCAGTTCTGCCAGGACTCCACGCGGACTGCCTGAAGCACAGCACATCTTTGGTCATTTTCATTTTTGTCCACCAAGTCTTACATCATAGGCCATTGTTTTTCCTCTACCCTAAAAACAGTCTCTCTCATCCTCATACGTTACAGGCCATTTTCATAAGGAATTATGTAACCACAGGGAGTTTGAGAAAATGGTAACCTGTATGAGATTTTAAAAATACTTTTTGAAAAGCAGCAGTACAGCCCATGCAGCCTAAATCACTGCACCTTCCTGCCCTTTGGGAAGTGATGTTCAGAATGGCAAATTTAACAGTTCCTGCTTTGGTCAGTCATGGAGATATTTCCTGTTTTCCAGGTCATGTTCTCTGTCAGGAGAGCTGTTTTGACTCCATTTCTCCCTTTGTCTTTCAGTATTTTTCCTTTGTTATGTGAGCCTGGTTTTGGAATAAGGCTGAGCATAAATCTCTTACTAGATAGGCCTGAAAAGTTTTATCTTCAGATAATTAAAGAATCTCTACAGCTGGTAGCAGCTTAAATACTGTCAAACAGTGAAAATTTTTGGTAGTTCCATTTTCAGTTTCAATCCTGCCTGTGCCTCCTGGGGCATGTAAAGTTGCTTCCAGAAAGAGATGTGGCTGTGCAGACTATGTACATGAATTCAGTCCAGCTGAGTAATCAGTGTCTGTACCCAAAATAGGTGGTGTCCTAATTGATTCTCTTTCCAGGGAGTTTAGCACTAAATGGTCCCAGGGGCCATCTGCCTTCTTTCTATGTTTTGAAGCTCTGCCTTTGTTAGAATTGCTGCTACAGCTTTTTTTTTTTTTTTTACTCATTCAAAGCTAAGTAAAGTGTCCTAATGTTGTCTGTTATCTGCCTCCTGACTTTAATGAGCATTTGAATGGATTGTAAAAGGCAACTGAAAAAGTACATTTTAAAATTTAGTGGTCCTCAGACCCAGGTCTAGTGGATGCCATTATGGAGTAGGTGCAGCCAGCTGGGGTTTCTGAGTCATCTCAGGTCCAAAACCTACCTGCTTCTGCAGCCTGAAACATGAAACAGAAGCACACAGAGAGGGTGTGTGTGTGTGTGTGTGTGTGTGTACTGTTCTCAACAGCCCATGTTCCTCAGATTTTCAAAGATAAATTAACATGCCACAGTGATACATGTTTGCTTCTGTTGAAGGTGGATGTCGGAGTGGTGCACTTCATACCCTCAATACAGCCCAAAATAGAACAACCATTCAAGCTGGTGGAAAAAGTCGTTCAGAATGTGTTTCAGTTCCGAAGGAAATATTGCCACCGAGGGCTGGGGTAAGAATGCTACCTCCTTTTTGACCTTATGATTTTTAAATATACCTTAGTTCAGATCTTGTGATGGTGAGAATTTGCCTGCTACTGAGGACAAGCAAAGCTTGGATGCTCATCTTAGATGCCACCTAGAAGTTGGGTTGGTTTGGTGCGGAGATACAACCTAGAACCAATTGCATTCCTCCTACTAAAGAGGCCATGATTTCTTAGGCTTATACAGATCCAAGTGACTCTGTACAAGCATGTTCTGTACTGTTGCCGTATCTGTTTTTTAACATCTTCCTGCCAGCTTGAACCATACTTGAAATAATTTCGTGTGACACAGGGACTTCCTATGACCATAATGAAAATTAAATGGAGCTATGTATGGAAGTCTTAGGAAATGAGAAATATGTGGCCGTGACGCTAAATGTTGACTACTCCATGGAATTCCTTTAAAAATGCGCTCTTCTTTTAAACAGACTAAGTGGGCCTAAGTAAACATTGTTTAACACTCATGAGTCTCTGGGACTCACTGAAGTCAAAAGGCTTTGAAGCACTGTGCTGATGTCCTATCAGGTGACTTGTTCTGCCAGTGGTACATGCATATCTCATTGGGTGGCTTAGACCACTGGTGACAGAAGTGGGATAGTTATGCATGGACATCATGCAAGGACCACCAGTGGTTCAAGCTGCCTGGCAGTGAGACACACATACATGTTAAAGACACATGTGAAAGCTAGGAAGTAAATACAATTTCTGAGCTTCCAAAATAACATGAGTGTCTTCTTACAAGCACATTCACTTACCCTGGAGCTCTTTGCATAAGTGCGTGCACCCCCCACCCACCAGGAGCACAACAGCACAGTGCTTCAAAGCCTTTTCACTTCAGTGAGCCCTAGAGACTCGTGAGCGTTAAAACAATGTTTACTTACCCCCAATTAGTCTGTTTAAAAGAGCACATTTTTAAAGGACTTCCATAGAGTAGTCGACATTTAGCGTCACGGCCACATATTTCTCATTTCCTAAGACTTCCATACATAGCTCCCTTTAATTTTCATTACGGTCATAGGAAGTCCCCGTGTCACACGAAATTATTTCAAGTATGGTTGGGCAGCTGTATCCTGAAACTGCTGCAATTATAAAACCTTTTCTTGAAGATTTCTGATGGTAGATGTTAAATCTCAACTTGCTCTTTGTTAACGCTAATTTAGTATGACTTATAACTGTTCAAGGTATGGCCAAAAAATACAGTGAATGTTTAAACAGTTTCATTGTTGTGGCTTCTTAGCTCTCCTGAATCAATTGAAAACATTTATCTTTTGTGGTCATTTTTTTCTTTGAGGAAGAATTAGAAGTTACCTAATGCCAGATCCAGTGAATAAGTGAATGAGGACACACCATCGTGTTTTTACAACCTGCCTTTCAGCAGCAGCACTGAATATATTTTTGATCACACCCCATAAGGTCACTCATGAAAGAAAACTGCTTCAGAAAGTTGCAAGATCAATGGCATAAGTTTGAAGCAAGCAGAAATACTTTGAGGGGTATAATGGCAATGTGTCTTTATAAATATTCACTGTGTATTTTGCTTCTTATACATGATTTATGTGAGGGAAAGATCACAAAAAGTGCATCCTGCTTTTTGGAAATCTTGGAACTGGTCTGAGCCTCAAGGTGGCCCTCGTGTTTCCATGGCAACTCTCACCTAAACGATGGGGCCATTCATTTCCATACACAGTCCTCTGTACTGGCCCACTTTGACCTGTTAGTATCCTCACATCTTAGAAGCCATTATCAGACTCTCCCCACCATGAAAATGAACTCAGATCTAAGTCACTTCACTCTAAAAAGTGAGGAACTTGCAGGCCCTGCTGAAAAGACCATCGGCCAGGAAGAAAAGCTTGCTCCACTGGCCAGGACACCTTCCAAGCCTTTGTTTGGGTGAGCTCTGTAGTCTGAGACTTGAGAGAAGAATACAGGTCTGTCTTTGTAAATATTTCAAACAGTCTCACTATTTTAAAACAGTGACTTGGGTTTGGATAGATGAAATATAAAATAGTTTGAAGTCAATTTTTTAATACTTGAAAATAAAATAACTTTGTATTTTTGCATCAGCTACTGTAACTTTGAAAAACAGGGCACTCTTTTGTGGCCAAGAATTCCACAGCTAGAGGCAAATTAGAGAATCAGAATTAGCAATTTGTTATATAATAACAGACAGTCTTCATCAAAATTTGAGGCACATCAATACTTATTTCTACAAGAATTAACTGAGCAGATGTTACTTTAAACTTACCAAAAGATGTGTGTATCAGCGCTAAAAAAACGTTTTTTCCTGTTGTGGACACACCCTGTCAGCAGGTTAGATCTGCTTCCAGTGGGTCACTGCCGGGGCCTGCTCTGTAACCCAAGAGGTTCCAGTGGCCACTGCTACTCCCTCAAGGAACAATTGCCAAGAACTGTGTCATTTTCAAATGACAGTAAGAGACAGCATCATGAGTTCCATAATTTTAAGTAAAATGCTGATTTTTTTTTCCCCCTTTCCTTTAGCATGTTATTCCCTGAAGCTCAGCGCCTAGAAAGCACGGGGAAGCTGTTACGGTTGGCAGACATAGATCCCACTCTTCGGCCCACCCAGCTCTCCATATTGCACTTTAGGAGCCTCTGTGACATATACAGAAAAATGTGTGATGAAGACCCACAGCTTTTTGGTTATAACTTCAGAGAAGAGCTCAAGCAGAAAAAAGACAAACAGCAGGTAAAAGAGGAGGAGGAGGAGGAAGAGAGTTGTGGACTGTAAATGCCGCTTTCAGGGCTTGTGGGCCTGACAAGGTGATTCCAGTGTGGAGCTGCTCCTGTATGTGCTTATCTTTGCAGAATGACAACAAAATATCAATGACCAGATGACTTATGTTCCTTTTACTGTACAGCTTGGTAGAGAAAATAAATATCAAGATACAGTACAAGCTTTTAATATATATACTACATAGATATGACATGTTTAGTATAAACAGCCTCTATTACAACCCTACAAAAATGAACTATCTGCATGTTGTACCCCTAACCCACATTAAAATAACTTAAATATACTTTAAATAAAGCAAAAGCAGTTCAAAGAAAATGCCCAGAGGATTGAATAAAGATGATCCTTTTAAAAGCTATCAATCACAACTTCCTCACCCTTACTTTTTTCCACATGACTTAAAATTAGAATGCAATTTTTAGGATTCTAAGTCATTTTGATGCCTGCTCAAAAGGGATATAAACTAAGAAATTTACAGATTTCTGACAAGTTTAATCTAGTTTTCTGATCCACAATAAATTAAAATAACTTAAATCTTTACAACAATTTTGTGGGAAAATGCATACTGCACAAAACTCAATGATGAATAGTTTTTCTGCAATTTCCACTTTACCACCAGTTTTAAAGAAAGTGAGCAGTGTAACCCTTATGTGGATGGAATTGTACTATGATTTTCCATGGCTTTCTGTTTCATAAAAACACTCCTCATTGACAACTGAAGTTAAACTCTGGACACTGAATTCTCTCTCTAGAACAAAATTGAGATCAATGTTGACGGTTTCAGGATGGCTGTCAAGGGACTGGTGCCGAGTCTGCGCCTTCAGCAAAGCCCCTCGGTTTCTCTTGGTGCTATTTGCTTTTCGTTTAATGGGGCAGAAGTGGGCCCGGACAAGCTTGGGCTGCTCTCCCTTCAAGCCCTCGCCCACCCCTGTACCAGGTTGCTGCTCCACCAGCTGGGCATCAGGCTCCTCGGAGATTCTCAGTCTCTGGAACTGAATTTCGATGTCCTTGGTGGGGCTGCTCCGTTTCAGAGTTGGCTGGTACTCCTCATCTTCATCGCTCAGGATATCACTCTCTTTGATGAGACTGTCAGGAAACTCCGCCAAGCCCGCGTGGGTGTCACCCCCTGGAGCCACACTCCTGCAGTCCTGCCTGCTCTCAGCCGCAGAGCAGCCGCTGCTCTGGGTGCCACTGCTCAGGCTGCACTCATCTGAGTCCAGTGAGTTAGCCTTGCTGGCCTCACTGGGCCACTCACTGCTGCACGAGGTCCTGAGGACTTTAAGAGACCTGGATGACGCTGCAAGGAGAAAAGCACATTTCCCTGGATGACAGGTAGCATACATAATGTGTCATTCCTGCCTCGTAAGGCATGAGATTTAACATCTTAATTACTTAAGATTTTATTTTGTCATTTGACTTACTGTGTTTGCTGGCATTTGGGCAAAAATTTAAAACTGCAAGCATAGCAGTTTTTTACTTAACATTTATTTGAAATTGTATGTTGGAAGAATTCAGCACCTTTAGATTCCCAGAGCTTCATTATTTAAATAGAACAATAAACTACTATAAGGGCTAGGATTACTTATCCAGGGAGTAAACTGTAATCACTAATAAAATCTAGCTTTTATTCTTTTGCTTTCATTCTTTTACTAAACTACTACATAATCTGATAATCAAGATTACACCATAGCTATGTATACCTTTTTTATTTCCCTTGCTGCTCATTTAAAAGCAGAAAAATGTTGTCTCATGAGAACTGCTAGAATTTATAGCCAACTTTCAGAATTAATAATATGCATATTTAATTATTTATGAGGACTTTGTTCTCTCAGGTTGAAGGGGGTAAGGGCACTCTAAATGAGTGTGTCTGTAGACAACAGCAGCATGTTAGTTTGACAGCCACAGCTTATTTGAACAAAAGAGAAAAAAAATTATATAATAAATCTGAAGAAGTCAAAACCGTGCCCCAAAAGAAGTTATATGCTCAAGACTAAAATCAAGAACAAAGATAAAACAGCTAATACAGAAAGAAGGTTCTGAAACTGAAGCTGAACTTTTAGAAACAAGCAGAAAGTTTAAGAACAGCAAAATCTGAAAATATTACCTGCTTGCTGACTTATTAAGAACAAGTATATTGGGTTTCTTGATCTTAATTCATTAAGTGCAGTGGTACCTCAGTTCTCATCATGAATTAGCTTTGGGAGGTGCAGTGAGTACAAACAAATTGTTTCAACTGGGAAGATAATGAATCACGAGGCAGTCAATACCTGTAAGTTGTAGCTTGTGGGTGGACTACCAAACAAGGACTGGGACACAACTTTCATGTCAAAATGAGGCATGTACCAGGTTTAATGACATTCAAAGCAGTTGAGTACTAAGGAATGACTGTATTGACCTAGATGTCTGGTGTTCTTCAGAATCCTGGGAATGCTACAGTAAGATAAAGTCCCTGGACTCGTGTACATCCTTAATGGAAGAAACTAAGATAGTAAGTCTGGATGGTGAGAGATGGATTAGGCAGTGGAGGTGGATATGCTTTGTAAAAGAGTGGCTAGGAGCAAGAGGAATATTTAAGTCTCTAAATTACCCCTGGGGCTGGGGATTTAGTTCCTTGGTTCTGCTGCCTGCCTGGCAAGCACAAGGTCCCAACGTCAATCCCTGGTACCAAGAAAACAAAAAGTTACCCCTGATGATTTACAAAGAAATAACTTACAGCTGTTATAAGAGCTTATACCCTTTTCAAAAACCTCATAATTTCTTGAATAAACACAGAGCTAGCAAAATTCTCACCTAATTTGGCTGAAACAGGAACTCGGTTCTTGAGAGGTACCAGGCGATCCTTAGAGGTCTTCTCCAGTGGTAATTCACACTTTATGTGACGCCTGAAGTTTTCCCTCAGAATAGAACGGATCACCTTAATGATGCTGGTTTTGCTCTCACTGTCACTGGTAGGAGAAAGAAAAGAGCCATAGTATCTATCATCCCAGGCATTCCTGAGGCAATCACTTTTCTCAGTGATGCCTTGCAGCTTCTAGGCTAGATCAACAGCAGCTTCCCAACCTCTATATCTGGGTTTCATCAGAGAAGCAGGCAAGAAGTGATCATTCCAAAATTTGGATGCATATATCTAACCACTAGATTCTCCTTCTAGACTCTCAGGTATCTTTTGAGGGAGAGCGGTTACCCTGTCACCAAAACTCAGGAGGGGACTAAAACTCCTATTTTTTTTTTAAGCTCCTTTTTAAAAAGACATGATTCTTGTTTCTACTGGTTTTAATTTTTAGAAGTCAGAAATACCTGCAACATAACTGAAAGATGGTTTCTGGCCGTCCTTCTATTTCTGATTTTATATGGATCAGCTCCCATATGGAATTATTTTCTGTCCCTGCATAAAAGGAAATGGAAACAAGAGTTTACAACTTTGCCAAAATGAAATGCCTGGTTAAGAACATTTATGAAGTTTAAAACTGAAGATCTGAAACATGGTAATTCTGGAAGTATCTCTGAATATTTTCCAGGGTCAGAGCTCCCCTCCCCTTTTAAAAATATCACTTGTAATACTATTTAATCTTATGGAATATTATGGTATATCTAAATTTGTAAAAAAATTTGAGCTTTTTTTTTCAAGCTCTGTTTAACAAAGTTAAGGAATCAAGAAAATTAGGATAATGTTGAAAATTATTGTTTTATAAAACAATGAAGGGATGTATTTGAGAGACAAAAATTGTCCACTGGCATTTTATTTCTGCAAAAGTTTGTCAAGAAACATCAAAACAACCTCTCCTTCCTCATTTTCCTTGCCTATAAATAAAACACACCAAAAATTATCTCCAGCAGTTTTTTCGTACTTTATTTCACAATTCAAACAAGTCTCTTAAAATACTTTAACTGCTCAAGTTACCTGCTGTGTTCCCCATCCGGACTTGAAGTGCAGATATGGGGATCAGCCAGCGGAATTTAAATGGGTCCAAGTCAGCAGAGCTGTGAGAAGGCCGGTTATTGGAGGGCTGGAAATGGTATTTGAAAACAAACGAAAGTTACATAGATTTCTTAAGTATGGGACAACAAGGGCATTTTCAGGGCTATAAATTAGTTTTCTATGTAGGCCCTGTTAAGGTTTGAGTCTAGATGTCCCCACAAAGTCTCATGCGGTAACAGGTGGCTTTTTCAGAGATGGCTGAATCTAGTGTGTGTGATGCTGTGATTATTAATGAATACACTGATTGGTTTGGCACTACCCTAATCCCAGTTGTCTGGATAATATGAAAGGGGAAGAACAATGCTGTTATGGTTCTCTTGTTGCTTTGCTGCCTTTGGTCCGCCATGAACTGTTGTTCCTCTGTCATGTGCCACCCTGCCTTGGAGCAAGTGAGTTATGCATTGAAGCCCCTAAAAACTGAGCTAAATAAACCTTTCCTCCTTTAAGTTTGGGTGTTTGGTATTTTGTCTCAACAAGAGAAAAGTAAGACAGGCCACAATGTGTTGTTGTTTTTGTTTTTTTTTTGTCTACGCCTAATTTAAAAGCAGATTACCTTCTCTCCATAGAGACTCAAAGATGCTGGGTACTTGATTTGGCTTTTGTCTCAGAATAATATCAGTTAGTGTGACTGGTACTTAGCTGGCCATGCAGTCCAACATTATAGGAAAAGATAGCTATGAAAAGGTAGCTTTAATTAAAAGTAATTCATCTTACCAGTTTCTTTTTCAGTTTGCAGTTTTCTTTATAAACCAATATGACAGCTCTTTTAAAAACTAAAGAAAGGAAAAACATTTTTCATTATTTTATACAAATCTAGGCTGAAAGAAGAACTGAATTTTACTGGAATAAAGCTCTTCACTTTTATGAATCACTTAAGATTCCATTATGCCAAAATTTGGGTGAATAAACAGTGCTTTTTTCTGTTTTTGTTTGAGCACTATGAAGAAGTTCTGATTACTTAATAACTATCATCTAAAGAAGGCTATAGCACTTAATTCTTGTTTTACTGGAAGTTGAGATGGTGTCCATCTCAGGGACCATACACTAGCTATACGTGCCTACTATCCTCCCAGTGAGAATTAAGAGAGATTTTTAAAATACAGCAAACCACTAAGATAGCAAGTTTCCAAATAGCCTCCAGAGACTGCTACTAGAACTTTTGGGCTGAGTCAAGCAGCATAAGGAAGAACAGACAACGAGTGTGCAGAGTGTGGTGTTTTAACTAGTCGGAGGCTGGATGTGTTAATTTACTGGCCATCACAGCAACTCTTCAAACGCCTGGAAGTCAGGGCTGGTCAACGGCTTCATTACTGCCAACTTCATTCAGGTTCACCTTCTTTTGAATGGAATACTAACCAAATACTGTGAGCTCCAGGTCTTTTCTGGCTTTTCCTAGAGACAGAAATGGGTTCAACCAGGAGACTGTAGAGTGCATCAGAAGCTCTCCCATGGAAAGTTCTGTTACCTAGATTGTAAAAACAGGAAATAAATGTGGAAACTGGAGTAGATGTTTTCATGTGATATGATGACTGATAAATAATACAAAGGTGAAGGCATTTCATTTCAGTGCACACTTATGTACACGTAAAATGTGCCTCATAAGCAGCTCCATTTCCTTAACAGTTTTCCCACCATGTTGATGTTCATCCTGGGACTGTATTAACATCTGCCACAGATCTAGTATGGTCTCCATATCTAATTCTCCAACTATGTTGGGCCTACTAATAAAAAAGTACCAAGCCTGAAACTGACCTTAAAAAACAAAACAAAACAAAAAACTCAGGTTCGTTTTTCTTGTCATTTTCTACTAAACTGTGTTGCTTCTTCTGTGGAGACTTTGGGAACACAAGGCTCTAAATTTAGCAATCAGACCAAAAATTACACACACACAATGTCAGCTCCTGCTTGGACTGTTCTAAGAAAGTAGGTAACCACCAATATTTGATGTTTTAAAAGGAAAAGAAAAAGAAGCTCTATATTCACTCCATATGCTGTCCTCCCTTTCCATCTTCTCCCCTCCCAACCAAGCCACCCTCTGGTTCCAGCCCCTGGGACTGGTAGACCTCATGCCCATTGGAAAGGAGGGAAGAGTAGGGGTATGAGAGCTCAGTGATGCGTCTGTCTTCTTTTGGATAGTGCTAATATGATGTAAGGCTACATTTTTAGATCGATGTAATGAATTTTGTCACATTTCTTTCTAAGCTGTAGAGTTTATGCATTAAGATTAAAAAGAAAATTTTAGGCATTTTTCCAAAGTCCTAACAGGTTACCTAAACCCCACCTACCATACGTAAGGCCCCCACATCCAGAACCCCACAGACCTCCTTCTCTGTGCCACTCTGCTCTGCAACCAACTGGTCAAACACGGTCCCATAATCCTCATAGATCTTCTGCATCTCATTGATGTGGCTTGCTACCTTTTCCATTGCCTTTAGTGCTTCTGCAAAATAAGAAATGTTCATATTTAAATCTATCCAGTAGCGGTAATGAAAGAGCTTGTTATACTTTACATGTAGATTTCTCCCTACAGCTTCAAGGGATCATAGGGGACTGTAGGAAGGTGATGGATTATGGGGGCATATTATAACTGGCTTGCTTTGCAGGGGCTGCTTAGGCAAGCTATGGGCACGGCCTAGAAGAATATCTCCCCCTTGCCATCCTCCCTTGACTCTTTTTGCTTCCTGGATGCCATAAAGTAAATTAAGTTTTCCTCCACTATGCCTCTCAGCCATGCCATTCTTCCCTGAAGCCAGCTGACCATGGACTGTAACCCTAAGCCCAAATAAACCTCTCTTCCTCTAAGTTGTGGGTGTCAGGTTTTGTGTCTCAGGCAAGGACAAGAAAGTGACTAAGACAGAGCAAGCCAGGATTCAAGATCTGTTCTCACCAACAGAGGCATTATTCATTCATAGCTCACCACAGCCCATTGTAACCTTGTCATCACAAAGAACAAATTATCTTCCACCTCGAGTTCTCTTTGAAATTAGGAGACTATAAAGTAGCTAACATTTACTCAGCACTTCCTACTTAGCATGTGCCAGGGCATTCATGTGACTCTCTTATCCACACAAGGACTTCATGACCTAACCAGTTTCATTTTATGTAAGAGGAAATCCTTCTGTAAAGAGGTGCGCAGTGTTTTGCCAGAGTTCTGAAGAGAAACAAGGGCAGAGCCAGAACCCAATCCAAATCAGGCTACCTCAAGTATCTGCTCTTGAATTCTGCTTCTCCTCTGGGATGATGAAGTAGAATTGAAACCCACAATTATTTTTTAAAATTAGAATTTATAGATGTCTCTGTAAACAACTGCTTACAAAAATTGTTTGCATTTATACATGGTATTTACAGCTTTGTATGAGGGCATTTGAGAGACAAAACGATACTGTCAAAGTAAAAAGCAGAATTTCAGTTCACCTCCAAATTCAGTTATTTTTTAAACTTTGTTCTCCAGATTCAGTATTTTAATTCAGTCAGGAGGAAGGTTTGGGAGTTTTTAACAGATAAAGATAGATCACTGTAACATGAAATGAACTCTTTACCCTGTATTTGAATACTAATCGTATCACTTGTACAATTTAACTTTTCATAAAAATTTTTTTTATCTTCATTGCTTATGATACCACTCTCAAACTGTGGGGCTCTGTGTTTTTGTCAGACTGTGCCATTGGCCAGTAATTTCAAAGGTAACAGCCTGTTCTATAACATAACCTGTCACTGAGCCCTTGGTTTCAGAACTGAGTTCTCAGAAATGTCCACAAGGTGGCGCCTTGTACAGTACATGTGGTCAGCAGCACTAGGCAGCAAACACCCCTTGACAGGTAGTAGAAAAGAGGTTTGATTTTCAGTTCTGATGCCACCAAATGACACGAGCTAATATGCTCAACTCATTAAGCTTAAATTACCCCTTTAAAATTTAGTTTAGTCACCCTTCGGAGGAGTTTGGGGTTCTCCACTGAGATCATTTTTACCAAAGGATACTGTACACTCTAATGGGATGGATGGAATGGCCATAGCAAGCTGATTTTCACCTCTGAAAACTGTAACCACGATGAGTGATCACAGTCATGACAAATGATTCAGAACAAACCTCTACACAGGAGAACAAGCAGCCCCATTCACAGCCTTACCTGTCAGGTGGTAGTGCTCTTCACTCTCATGGTCTGTCAGGGACACGAGTTCCTTCAGGAGCAGAGGGTACTTGAGCACTCTCTGAACTGGCTTGATAAGATATGACTCCAGGGTGGAGGAATGCTGCTTAGTGGGATTCCGAGCATCCAGGAAAGTCTTGAATGCCTTATCAGTTTTAGCTGCAAGCAAAGAATAGAAGACCCTTAGAAGAGCACAGCTGGATGCATTACACTGTTTCATTTATCTTAACAGAGTTGTTTTCAGTCACCCATTTCTATGGTCTTCCTAATGCCATCCTTTAATGACCATCTAAGCACATCAGTGGGTCAAGCTCCAATCTGTCAATCTGGGAGTCAGCATCTAACTCTAATGAGTCCTGGGAATGAAGGAAGCTTCTAGGACACCAGGGGAGTTAAGTCCACATGCCAGAGAGAATGCCCAGTCCCCATGCGGGAGTGTCAGTCTTAATGTATATGTGCTTCGTGCCTACTCATGAGGGATACTGTTATAGGTGGCAAAAAAAAAAAAAAAAAAAAAAA